GCCGAGGAGCGGCGACAGCCCGCTGCCCAGGGACAGGTGTCTCCGGAGATGCGCACTCTGCGGGAAGACGGCGGCCCGGGGGCAGGCGCGGAGCACCGGCACTGGGCGCAGCCGGGAGCTTGTCATCGACGACCTGGAGAGGCGCTGGGCCGACCTGCGGGTCAGCAGAGGGTGGAGCCAGACCCGGGGTGTCAGAGCGGGAAGGGCCCGCGAGATCATCCACGTGGGAAACCCTCGGCCTGGGGACGGGAAGGAATAAATGATCTTGAAGCCTTGGAAGCTCTCCGCTGGAGCAGCCAACAGCCGGCAGCAAGCAGGGCTCCTGCGCTGAATCCAAATCCCACTTCAAACCCCTCTGCTCACTCCCAGCTGTTGACCTTGGTCAAGTTACTTAACCTCTGTTTTTTCCCTTCTCTACCAAATGGGGATAGCCCATGTTAGTGTGATTGCGGGATTTAATAAGTTAATAGGCACGAAGTGCTTCCCTGCACTGTTCAGCACACTGTTACAGCCGGCAATTCCCATTTTTAAATTGGAACTGGCCCTTGGAGGAGTACAATGATTTAAGAGACTAGAACGGCATTTATTTCTATTCCAGGGAGCGTTCCTGGAAGCCAGCTTACCACCAGCCAGCCTGCTCTAGGCTGTACAGGGTACAAGGACCGGAAGATGACGGCTCTGCTCTCACACTACTGTCAGACAGATGCCCACTGGTTACAGGGAATAATGTGTGCCAGGCTTGCCCTGGCTTCTTGACTGTGTTGGGGAGCGGCCCCAGTAAGCCCCCTGGGACAGAGCCAGGATTCCTCTTATTGGCTGGGAAAGGGAAGGGAAGTGAGTGTCAGACAGTGAACAGCTCAAGGCACATGTACTTAGCGTCCTTATAACGAGAGAGTTGAAGAGACCATTCTGCTCATTTTAGAGATGAGGAAAAAGTGGCAAAGAGGCTCTGAACTTCCCCAGGGCCACCCAACTTTTCCAAAACCAGCTCTCCCAGTCCCTGGCCCTGGCCCTTCTTAGTGGCTTCTCCAATTCTAAGAAAGTAATGATAAAGCCTTGGCCCAAACCGTGACATATCCAAAGCTTCCCCACAAGATGTCCTTACCTGTGACCTGGACATCACCCTCTTCCACAACTACTCCTAACCTTTACCAGCTCCTTAAACTCCTTTCTCCTCCCCAACAACAAACACCACTCCGAGACCCCTTCTCTCCTGCTAGCCAGTCTCCAAGGCCAGCCCAACCCCTCCATCACCACCCAAACCTTGCTGCATCAATCTTGCCTTCTCTCTTATACCTTGAACTCCTCTAGCTACCCTCAATCCTTCCCCTCAGCCTAGACACATGCTCATGTATTATCCAGTTTAGAAATGTGCTCCCTGGACCTGAGCTTTCTCACCATTTGCCATCTTCTCTCTTTCCTTTCCCATCCACGTTCAGTTTTAATGCTGACAGATCCCGAATTATTATTCCTAGCACTAATGTCTCCCCTCAGTGCTGCTACCTGGGATTCCACAGGCGCCTCACACTTAACATGGCCAAAACAGAACTCCTCATTAGCTTCACGACCACTCCAGCTTTTTCTTACCTGGTGGCACCACCCACCGTTTGCCTGGCCATCCAAGCCAGAAACCTGGGTGTCCACATCGGTTCTGCCCATCAAGTCTGTTTGCTCCTCCCTGTCTGCCCATCACTGTCTCAGTTCAGGTCTCTACTATCTTCCATGTCCCAGCCTCCTCCCTCATCTTCCTGCTCCTGACCTCACCTGTTCTAGAAGACCTGGCTGCCCTCCTGTACCTCGCCTACCCTCTCTATCAAGAACCTCGCTTTGCTTTTTTCATAGTACTTTTCTTTTACTGTCCAAAATTATCTTGCTTACACATCTGCTTCCTGTTCTGTGTGTCTTTCTCTTAATTACAATGTAAGCTCCCCGGGGTCAGGAAAGTTATCCGTCTGTTTACTATTCTGTTCCCATCACTTAGATTAGTCTCTGTGTGGAGCAGCTGTTCAAGAAATATTTGTTCAGTGAATGAATGCTCTAGATCATCGTTGGACAGAAATATAACGCAAGCCACAAATGTGAACCACGTGTGTAGTTTTAAATTTTCTACTAGCTACATTTAGAAGGGTAAAAAGACAGAGGTGAAATTATTTTTAATATTTTATTTAACACAATATGTCCAAAAGATTATCTTTTTTTCTAATGGTCAGCAATGTCAAAGATATTAATGAGATACTTTACATTCTTTTTTAGGACTAAGTCTTTCAAAGTTTGTGTGTGTTTCACTTTTACAGTATCTCATTTCAGACTAGTCACATTTCAAGTGCTCAGTAGTCACATGTGGCCAGTGGCTTCTGTTTTGGACTTCACAGCTCTAGACTTATGCCTCCTATCATATTGACCTGGCTTCAGTTATGCCCTCTGCTACTATAAGAATGTGTATGATAATCAAGTCACTAATACTTACTCAAACATCCCCAGAGACTCTACCATGTTTCCAGCATTGTTCTAAGAAGGGGGTCACACAAAGATGAATAACAGACATATCTTGCCCAAGAAGCCTACAGTCTAGTGTGAGAAAAACATATGTAAATGATTAGCATGCAAGGCGATAAAAGATCTTTGTACAAAGTGCTGTAGGAACCACCAATTCTGTCTGGAGGAGTGAAGAAAAGTTTCAGAGAGGAGGTGAGGCTTTAGACCAGCCTTGCAGAACAAGTAGAAGCCGACAAAGCAGACAAGGAATAGTGGGGGTTTTCCAGGAAATGGAAACAACCCATATTGAAGGCAGACATGTATGAGAGAACATGTCACTTGATGAACTTCCAAGTTATTTGCTCTGGTTGGAAATACTAGGCTGAATTCAATGTCCCACGAAGAGGGTAGAGTTGAAGAGAATGGTAACAGAGGCCACTGAGACGGGTTGGTGAGCATTGCCACCAGCAGAGCAGCCCAAGGGCATCGAACTCGATGACAGAAACATCCAACATCCCAACCCTGTGAGCGGCTCCCTAGGAGTCTGCAAGGGATCCAAGGGCCATGGCAAAGCTTTGGGGTACTGTGATTTGCATATCGGAGATTATATGATTTTGTTGACAACAATTTGTCTTAATGCTGAAAATATGAGTGATCCAACTGCTTGTAGTCGAGAAGATGGTTTGATAGGACCCCACCCGAGGTTTCCGGAGAGGGCACAAACCAGTGAATGTAATCTCATTCTCCTGCACTGGAGTACTCTGTCGATTATAAAGGAATTCCATCAACATCCTCTCCTTTAGTCTTCACAAGAGCTCTCTGAAGAATGTGGAGCCACCTATAGATGAAGAAACAGGGGCTCAAAAAGGTGGGACAGCTTGCCCAAGGTCAAAGGGCTAAGAGAGGGTGAACCTGAATTCAAGTTTTCTGACGTAAGTCACTATACCCGTGATGCCACAGCCAACCAGCAGCAAAGCACCACACTGGGCACCTCAGAAATGGTGGGTAGACACCCTACAGATTCGGCTAGTTTACTGATTGCTTAGGAGGCTAAGTCTGGAGTTCTGTTCCATACAAATCAATTATTATTAAGTTCCCATGCTTTTAGAAGAGGGTTGGATATGAGTTAAAATTAAAGGCATTCAGACAATAAAGTTGTTGTTTGGTTTTTGATTTTCGGTTTTTGGCTTTTTTTAGGACCATCCATCTTGCAAGTCATGAAGGCTAATACTGCAGCTGTGAAATTTGACTCCAAGCTTCCGGGAAGCAAAAATAGGCACATGGAGGTCTGTACACTGCCCATTCCCTCATGAGAAAGACGCAGTTTTTTGTGTGTTGACTCAAAAGATTTAACTTATTAGGAATTAAACTGAAGGACCCCTTACCATGCCTGCTTCTGCCATGGAAGGGAAATGAAAACAAAACATCAGGGAACTTGGTCTCATTGGAGGTAGGAACTAAGGAAGAATGCTGCTGGGCAGGGACTGAGGGAGCACAGACAGGCTCTTCAGGAAGAGCAAAGGAGATGTCAGCCAGCTGTGCTGTCTTTAGCCCCCCGCCCCAGTGCTCTCACACTCTTCCCTGTCACATGCTTCTGTTTTCCTCTGTCTTTCTGTTTTTTTCTCTTTTTTTCTTATTGAAGTATAGTTGATTTACAGTCCTGTGTGTGTTTCAGGTGTACAGCGTAGTGATTCAGTAATTGTTGCTGATACTCCATTATAGGTTATTACAAGATACTGGGTATAATTCCCTGTGCTGTACAATATATCCTTGTTGCGTATCCATTTTATATATAGTAATTTATATCCGTTAATCCCATATCTCTAATTTGCCCTTCCTCTTCCTCCTCCCCTTTTTTCCTTTTTTTTTTATTCTTCTGATAAAAGTTGTGTTCATGTTCTCATGAAAAGCTGGATGCTCTAGATGAATGTGGTAGGGACAATCAAATAGATTGATATGTGGGGTGCACAGAGACAGAAAACATGACCTGAGAGTGACCCGGGCAAGGGTGGTGTACCTTAGTGGGTAGATTACTAGAATCCTGCCCAGAGAAGGGACCAGATAGTGACCAGTCCACTCAAAGAAATATTAAGTTACCTTAAACAATATTACATTAAACACTGGGCTTGTCTTCTTTGGCCAGGAGTGCCCAGACAAGGGCTACAATGATTAACATGGATATTTTGGGCAGGCTAAGCATAGAGCAGATGCTCAATAAATGCTAACTGAAGGGAGAGCAAATGTTTGTCAAAAAGTCTTCCGCAGTTGCTAGATGAGGTCTGCACCATAGCCCTGGGTTTCCTAGCAACCAAAGCAAGGAAGGGAACATAATGTTAGAACATTCACGATGTCCATAAGATAAAAACAGATCAGTTGCCCAGAAGAGCTTTCTCATGGCTCCTCTTAGAGGGAACACTGTGTCATATAGTATGTCCTCAGCAACAGTCCTACAATAAAAATAGAATCTAATTCTGAACAGTTGACTCTCAGTACATTTTCGGTGCAGGTAGTTGGCATATTGCCAAGAGCCACTCAGTGCAAAGGAGCCAAAAGAATTCCGCAAAGATAAGCAGTTCTCTGAAGATTTGGCTTGGTTCAGTGATAAATTTTACAATATCCGGGGGCAGGAGTGGAAATACCTTCCTGGCAAGCACTCCATCACTCCCAGTCCAAGCCCAGGGCAGACATCAGCAATGACCACTGAAACTCTCTCCCGTGGAGACTGGACGTCACCTCATAGACCTTCCCACGCCAATAGGCTTCTTCTCACTTGCCAACTGAAATCAATCTGCCAGCTCTGATCAAAGGGTATTTATGAATATCCTTCAGGCAATGTTCTGTGAATATTATTTCATATAATATTTTAATACAGATGAGGCATTAGAGTTTGAAATTATAGTGGCTGGCAAGAGAGAAGAAATATTCTAGGTTGATAAGTAAGGACAGAGCACTATGGTTTGGCAGGCAAACAGATGCAGAGTAATCTGATGTTCTTACATGAAAAGAATGAGCGTGGGACCACCAGACCAGAGGCTGCTGCATCATTCAGACTGCTCTTGAGGTATAACAAAAAGATCTCGCATGTCAGGGTTTGGGCTAGACAGAACTGATTGAGGGGAGAGTGAGGGACTTCTCTGACGTTTACTTTTCCTCCTTAGATATCTTTTCAACCTCTGATTCAAGAATTAACATAAAACTAGTTAGCATAAGAATAGTTAACATAATTAACTGGCCAATAAACACATTTTAAAAAATAAACAATATAGTGCTTAAAACCAGAAAAGGTACTTTTAGTAGACCAGAGATTTGAAGGATACATAGAAGACCCTGGGAGCTGTTACTTGGGAGGCCCCCTGAACCACATTCTCAGTGTTCATGCCCTTTGTAGTCCCCTACCACAGGAACTGTGGACTTGGCATGTGGCCAGCTTGTGTTGGCCAATGGGACATTAGAAAGCATCCTTTAAACAAAAGCTTATAAGAGCTTGCCCATTAGAGTTTCCCCTCATATGGTGCCCTTCCTTGAACCCAGCTACTTTGCTGTGAGGAGGCCCATGCATATTATTTACAACTTGTCCCCCCTGCTAAACTGTCAGCGGCAGGAGGGCAGGAATCTTTGCCTGAGTTGTGCATTGTCCAGCGAAGCCCAGCACCTCGAACAGTGCCTGGCATTTAGCGAGGTTGAACTGAATTAAAATCTGGATAGACACATCCTGGGAAAATTTCATAATTTTAAACATAAACAAGAAATCCTAGGATCTTTGGGATTTCCTACAAAAGAACAAGAGACAGAACTGTCATCTAACATTAACAATGTTTGAATCCTGGAAAACATACATACAAAATAGTTAGCAAGGAAACAGATCTTGGACCTAGAATTCTAAACCCTGCCACACTGCCAGTAAATTGTAAAGGCAATAAGACATTTTCAGATATGCAAGAACTCAGAACATTTACCCATGCGTCCCAGATGATTGATTATTCCAATATATTTTCCAGCAAATTTTTTTTTAAAGTTCAAGGAAGGACAGCATGAAATTCAAGAAACTGAAACTCCAAAGAAGAAAAAAAAATAGCGAGAAATTAAGAGAACATTTTCACCATTAGAGCATTCTATTGTATGACCATACCACAATTTACTTTTCATTCCTCCACTAATAGATCTCAGAGTTATTTTTAATTTCTCACCTCTGCAAACAATACTGAAATGAACGTCCTTATAATTCTCTCCTATGTGCTCACCAGGAGTTCCTCCAGGATGGCAATGCCTAAACACAAAATGATCAGCTCGAGGTGTGTGCATGTTGTTTGGAGCTTCTTTACACTTGCTCAGTCCATGGCCAGCCTCCTGCCAGTTTCTTCACTGACCTGATGAGCTTTGAAAACAAAAGGGCCTTCCCAAGAGTCACTTAGCTTGACTATGCTCAGGAAGTCCTCAAGACTGTCTCCAGTCTACACTCTGAGAAACACTGTCCTGATCCATGGCTAGAGACAGATAACACCTTCAAACCTGGATCGGGTGTCAGGAAAAGGTGCAACTGATCATCAGAAGAATCAGATGGGAAAGGTCAATAATGTCCTTCTGGTAGCAGGAATTCAGATCTCAAACAATGGTATAGGATGGCTTCAGTTTTACAAGTGAGAGTTCCCCCCTACTCTGAGTCAGGCCATGACATATGAGCTTCATTTTTATCTTCTTGTGTGGTGGGAAATTTGTTGCTTGTTCACCCTTTCATCACAGGTGCATGTTTCCTTTAAAGGTCCCAGCTCTCTGCAGGGATGTCAGTTTCAATGTTCTGCAGCCAGTGAACTCCAAGCCAGGTCTCCTAGCCTAGTGTAGACAGGAAAACCAAGTTTCCGGGTTAGTTAGATGACGACCTCCCTAGAGCTGTAAGCATTGCATTGCTCACAGACTCTAGGCCCCAGAGTTTAGTTTCAGCCTCTGAGGATTTCATTTACATTTTTGCAGTCTCAGCTCTGTGCCTATGAAATCTGTTATGCTATAGCCAGCATTTTTAGGTGTTTTTTAGTGGGAGAGTTTTCCGATGATCTAGTCCAGATAGCTCAGGACTTTAACTCGAAAAAATTAAACTATTAAGTGAGAGGGGGAAAAAAAGGCATTTTCAGAAAACCAAGGTCTCAAAAAAGTCTACCTCCCTTGAGCGTTTTCTCAGAAAGCTGTTGGAGAGCATGTGCCACCAAAACAAGGGAGTATACAATGCGGAGGAAGATGTGGGATTCAGGAAACAGGAGCTCCAGGCCATGAACAGGGGTGAGGGATCCCCCGAGCATGATGGGGTGACAGCCGTGCAGCAGCAGGCCTGGGGGACAAGCAGCCTCCAGCTTAGGGCAGGAGGAAGGCAGCTCTAGGAGAACTGTCTCTAGACAAAGATGAAATTGTTACGTTACCTAGCATGTTTGAAGGTAATAAGAGATGAAAAACTCCAGAGAGTTTGAGGCTGAAGTAGTAAGAAGAAAAAGAAAACTAAGGAAGCAGCCTCATCTTCCATAGAAGAAACTCGATAGACAACATCCAAACCTGGAAAAATAGAGAAATTCCAATGCCAATATGTTATTTAGTAATTGGGGGCAAAAGCAGGCATTAGAGGGTGTTGTCTTCAGGGGCAGAAATCAGGGGTGGGGAAAAGAAGGATAAAGTATTACTGTTTTCATTTCAAGCTCTGTAAATCTATTTTTATTAAATACATGTATAACTTTGATAAAAATAAATATGATGGCATAATACACAACATTCATTTCATGTTTGAGCTTTGCCACAAGATTCGACAGATGCCTTTGCATAGTATTCAAGCGGTTAGTCAATTTTCCAAAAGGAGTCTTAATCCTTTGATGTTCACATCACCTTCTTTGAAGCACTTATCACATCTTTATTCTTGTCGCTTTGTTCTTCGTTTGTTAACTGGTTTTATATCAGTCAAATTTTCACTTTCCACGGCAGAGGTAAACTTTGCAGCTAATCCAGGAAAACTGATTTCATAATTGACTGGTGTGTTAGTGAATATGTCAGAGGGTTGTTGACTTTTGCTGCATTACATAAACTCAAACTGTGGGGTCTTGTTTAATGAATACTCAGGCAGTAAGAATTCTGTTTATGATAAAACTGACTGTCCCCAGCTGTCACATGCGCTAGTCAGTCACTGGTTCACCACCCGCTTGGCATCCAGCGTGGAAAGGAAATGGCATAAAGGCAGGAAGCAGAAAGGAGAAGTGGGAAGGAGATAGAGGATGAGGACTCAATAAGCTGCACATCTTATAACCAGCCTCCA